CCAACCGGCCGCCCCCGTGTCACCTCTTCTTGGTGACTTCATGGGTATCATGGTGAAGCCCCCAACTCACTGGTCTAAGAGGTCACTTCCCTGCATAGAGCTTGCCCACCCATCACACCCCCAGTCACACCCTTGATGGGTTACTCCTAATCACTCGGCCACCTGTGAGCTCACTTATCCCACTCTCTGACCCGAGCCTCCGAGCCTCCTACCTCAGTTATTTAAACCTCTTTGGGCCACCTTATCCCCATACCTCTGCCTCCCAGTTCACTGTTGGGTGTCCCATTTGGCTGGCATCCTTATCCAGCTCAGTCTCCATAGGTTGCTTCTGCAAACACTCCGCTCCCTCTGTGGTTGGCAAAATCCCCATCCTGGTTACTCCTGGCCCTCTGGTATGGCTGCACTGAGGTGACCATCAGGGGAACACACCTGATGAATAATTTCCACCTTGCTCCTTATTCCTAATCACAAATCTCCAAAATGCACTCGATAGCCAGACAATCCACTCTTGGGAGTGTTTATGTCAAATTTTATCCTTCCTCTTTCCCTTCTGTTCCATTTGCTTCTTGCTCTCTGCTGAGACCTAACCCTCACCTGTGCCTCAGTGAGAAAGAAAAGCTGCTGGCTGCCAAAACCCTCATTGCCCTCCCAGGAAATACCCCAGTCCACTGGCCTTGCCTTTGAGTCCCTGGTCTTGGCGTGGCCCAAGTCCTGGGTTTGTTTGCTGGATGGAGCTCATGCCCATCTCTGCCAGCATCCTGGCTTCCTCCTACAACATTACTTGTCCTTCTCTGTTGGAGCATTTGTGTCAGCAACAGAAAAACATGCTCTAGCACCTCTCTTCTCAAAAAAACCTTCCATGGGCCAGCCGAGTGGCGCGTTGGTTAAGAGCTGGCTTGGGATGCCAGAGGGCCCTGGTTCGGATCCCACATGAGGGCCAGTGACACTGCCCTCCACAGCTAAGATGCTGAACAACAGCTCAACCTGGAGCTGGGCTGCTGTGAGTCACTGCCAACGCTGTAGGCTGCAGCCCCTGCTGCAGTGGGTTGCCATGGGCAACCGTGTGTAGCCAGCAGCCAGCGTGAGCAGCCAGCGTGAGCTGCCAAGAGCCGCCGTGAGCGGCTGTCCAGAAGTCGGCAACTGATCTGCCTCACCCGGGAAGAGCGCAATGATGGTGCCAACTTGAGCCAGTGAAGCAACATCCTCCACAACTAGACTGAAGAACAAAAGGATAGCAGCTTGTCTGTTTCCTTTCCCCCAATTCCCCAATAAAAATCTTTAAAGAAAAAAAAGAAAAAAGAAATAAAGATGCTAAAACACAGGGATCAAAGGGTGTGCCAAAAGCCACACAGCTACTCTAGTAGAAACCCGGTCCCATTAAAAAAAAAGAAAAAGCCTTCCATAACCCTTCTCCTATATCCCTCCAGAGATGGCCCCATTTCTTAGCCCCCATCATGGCCAGCCCCAATCACTGTCTCCACCTCCTCAGCTCATCCACTCCAGGCAGGATTTTGCCCCAACTCCCAGGGTGGTCTCTCTAAAACTGATGTGCCTACTGGAGCCAACAACCTCTTCCTGACCAAGTCCTTTGTCCTCCTGGAGCTTAGGAGCCCACGCCCTCTGGCTTTGCTCTCACTTCACTGGTGGCTCCTTCTTGGCCTCCTTCACTGCTGGACCCTAAATGCTATGTGCCCTCAGGTTGTTTCTGGGCCTTTCTGTTCTCTCACATTCTCCTCCATTCACATAGCTTTAAATACCACCCTTGGGACAACGGCTCTCAAATCAATGTCAAAGGCCACTGTCTTGGTGTGTCCACTTGGATGTCCAGTGGGCACCTTGGATTCACCATGGTCAAAACGGAATTTCTGATTTGTCCCTTCTAAACCTGCTTCTCTCCTAGTCTTCCCCATCTCAGATGCTCAGGAGCCAACTGAGCGATATACTTAATCCATTTCTTTCCCTCACCCATTATAACAAAGCAGTCACATTGCTGTATTTCCAAAATACATCCCAAACTTAACCACTCTCCCCCAACATTCTGCCCCACACCCGAGTTCCAGCTGCCATCATCTCTTGCCTGGTCACTGCCCTAGGCTTCTTGTTAGTCGCCTTGCTTCCATCCTCGACTTACAATCCAATCCCCACATGGCAGGCACAGAGAACTTTTTAAAAAGTTAATTTGGCCATGACAGCGCCCTGCTTAAAATGAACAGCTTCAAAGCCAAACTGCTCCCAGTAGCCTACAAGGTCCTACATCGTGTGCCTCTGATTGATCTCTCTGACAGCTCCCTCCCCTTGCTCACTCACTAAGCTCCGGTCACTCTGGCTTCCTTTCTGCTCCACGAACATTCCTCACTCGTGTCCCTCTGGGTATGTTGAAGAAGGGGTGAAACTGGACAGAGGATGTAAGAATGAGCAGGATATTGTAGCTGATGGTAGGTGTTCACAGGAAAGGCCTGAACGGGCTTTTGCTTGAGTGGGAAGCTGAACCCTGTTCCACTCACCATGGCAAAGAGGTTGTCATAGCCTTTGACCTTGGTGGGCACCTTGGAGAACTTCTGGTCAAATGCATCAGAGATGTTGTGGGCTGGGTCGGTGGAGATGATCAGAACACTCTCCCGCCCCTTGGATAGCTGGACTGCTAGGCTGCAGCTGGGCAAGGGAAAGGTCAAAATGCAAGAAGTGAGGGGTTAGGCTCTGCTCCCTAGGTCTACATGGAAAGATGTGGGGCCCAGAAGCTGGGGTCCCGGATCAGCCAGGCCTTGAGAATATGAGTAATTGTGGAATTAAGCCTCAATCTCTGCAGAGGGACCCTCTCAGACCTCATCTACTAACCCCGCCAGCTGGCTAGCGTGGTGAGGTTCAGTATGGCTTGATGCCTGCTTCTTTGCTGGCACAGAGTGGCGTGCCAGCTGTCCGGCCAGCATAGTTAAGGAGTCCCTTGCACCCCTTCAACTCTAAGCTAAGGGTTCCCCCCGCACTTCCTGCTAAACTCAGGATGGTTCAAACCAATTGTCCAGGATAATGTGCCCCAGAGACCACTGCCCCTCCTCCCAGCTGACTAGGATAGTCTGAGCATCGTGCCCTCACCTTCCACTCCCACGTGTGCATAGAATGGCAAGGTTCACTCAGACTAGGAGAGTTTGCCCCCGTGTCCCTCCCTATACTCTGAGCTCGCTCCGGTACGGTCCAGCTGACTGGGACATTTAAGTGCTCTCCTGACCCCCGTGCGTTTGGTTCATTGTGGTTTGGCCCTTGAACCCCAATGGGAATGGTCTGCTCAAAGGGTTCCAGGCCTGCATTCAGGAAGTTTCTTCCATTTGCTCCAGGTAACTTCTGGAGAGTACAACCCGGAAGACCCTGGCCCAGCCCCCGTACCCGGCTCGGGGTCGAAGAGCGATCCCTGGCTTCCCCTTCGTCCAGTGGTACATCCCACTCGTCTTCCCGGCCCCCGCTGCAGCCTCCTTACCTGCAGGTGGTTTTGCCAACACCACCTTTGCCCCCTACGAAGATCCACTTAAGGCTGCGCTGCTCGATGATGTTGCTAAGCGTAGGCTCCAGCGGCTCCACATCAGGCGCATCCTCGAACTCCTCTGCCTCAGCCCCCCAACCGGCCACCCCTGCTGCCATCTTGGAACCGGCTCACGTGACCGAGCGGAGCGCACCACGCAAAACACCAACAGGGGAAATTCCATGTTATATCCCCCATCACGGCTAGCAGCCCGAGTTAATTTCTTCATGACCTGACTTTCAGGCGCTAATAGAAGCTATATTTCCAATGTCCTTCTCTTTCAGGGTTCACCTTATCGATCTCTAGTCTATGTTTTTTCAAAGACTCCTCCTGTCTAATTAACATATTGGTACGTTCCAGGATACTCCCCTTCCCTGATTGGACCCTAAATCTTGCAGCACTCTTTTCATTGGCTACATCCTTTATTACTTTCACCAATCACTCTCAGGTCCTGGTAGCCGCCAACCTCTCCTTAGCAACCAGCCAAACACCCAGTGCATGCCCTTTCGGTGAAGTTAGACCCCAGGTCCGCACTGGACTGACTGCATAGGCTCAACTTCTTGTCGATCTTTTCCCTTATTCTCCAAATTGAATCACAACATCCTCTCAGGGCCTTCTCCTCTGTTATTCAATTGGCTGTGATCCACCGGCTGACGCAAACCAATCATAGACGAATTGATTAGTTGGCCGAAGACAGGTCTCGGGACTGTGAGTGGACGGGGAGAACGACTCAGTCCGGTTGGGCGAGATTCGCAGATCCTTGTCCAGTGCTCCCTGAACCCCTATGCTGGGCAGACCAGGGCAGGAACCACACCTGTAACCGCGCTTCTTGTCTTGGTCGGGACTCTATTCCCGAAAACTTCTTTGTACTTTGCTCCCTGTGTAAGGGGAGACTCCAGCAAATTCCGTTTGAACTTCTGCACTGGGCAGTAATACAAGCTTTGTCGCAGGCCGTTGGCGGACACTCTTAACTCTAAGCTGGGGTACTCCAGCTTAGACATACCCCTTCTCCGAGAAGTTTCTTCTGAGTATTCTAGCCCATAAGATAATAATACCCTGATTCTCAGATGGGAACCCCAGCTCCACGGAACTAACTGTATCCGCATTCCCAAACGAGAGCTTCATCCTAGAGACAGGTACCCAATCCAGGACACCTCTATTTCTACGTTGGGGGTTTAGGCTGGATATACTCTCTGGACCTAGTTAGGGACATAGGTTCCGAGGTGTCAGTTGAGTACACAGCCTCACAGGGGATCCCTCTCCTCACTGAGATTATCCCTGGTGCCAGAAGAAGGTTTTGGCCCCGTTAAGCTAATCGCCTCCAGTCCCGTGCCAGCTACAGCCCCAGAAAACAGTCCCATTCCAGGGGAGACCCTGTCTGCATAACTCCTGCCCAAGTCTAGCTGGTTATAAAGACCCGCGGGGAGGGGCCCCACGGTCCGCCAGTTTCGTCCTGCCCCTCGGGCCCCGCCTCCATTGCGGACGCTTGCGGGTCAGGGTGTTCTTCCCGGCATGCATTGCTCGGGATCGGCAAGTTCGGGGGCTAGCGCGGGGCCGAAGCGGCCTTCCCGGAGTCCTTTGCGCGGCACCTGGCGACAAAATGGCTGCCCGAGGGAGACGGGCGGAGCCTCCGGGCCGGGAGGCACCGGGCCCCGCGGCGGGCGGCGGCGGCGGGGGCCGATGGGCTGAGTCGGGGCCCGGGACATCGCCTGAGAGCGGGGATGAGGAAACGTCGAACCCGGTGTCGGGCGGCGTGAACTTGTTCGCCAACGACGGCAGCTTCCTCGAGCTGTTCAAGCGGAAGATGGAGGAGGAGCAGCGGCAGCGGCAGGAGGAGCCGCCCCCGGGCCCGCCGCGACCCGACCAGCCGGCCACCGCCACCGCCGCGGGTCCCGGGGATCCGAAGAGGAAGGGCGGCCCGGGCCCCACGCTCAGCTTCGTAAGGAGCCGCGGGGGTGGGGGCGGGCGCCAGGGCCTGCCGTGGCAGGGGGAATCGGCTCGAGAAAAGGGATTGGGATTCAGGCCCACCCTCCGACCCCGATGAGGGGCCTGTCCGGGTCACCCGCTGAGGATGCGGAACCTGGATTCCCGACGTGCGAGGTTTGGGGGTGGAGGTAGGGATCTCCGGAGCTTGCCCGCGAGAACCGGGAGCCGAGGATGGGGAAACTAGGATTCCAGTATTCCTGTTCAGTGGTACTCGAACTTTGGGTACTGGGACCATCTCCCACTATTCGGAAGGGAAGCAGATTCAAATCTGGAGTCAAAGGTGTGTGGATTAGAGACTCAGACAGTTTACTGTGTGACCTTAGGAAATTTGCTTGACTTCCGGAGTCTCATTTGTCTAGTGTCCATTTATTGAGCACCTTACCTTGTGCTGGGCATTGTGCTAGGTGCTGGATGTGCCCTGGTGAACATGAGACAAGATCTCCACTTTACTGAGTGTCTACTTTTGCCTACCTTCATTTTTTCCATATTTGGAAAAGTGGACATTATCTCATCTTCTGATGTGATGAGGGTTCAGTGAGGCCATCCTGGAAAAGTGGTTAACTTGGGGCCTGACTTATAGGAAGGGCTAAACCAGTGGTTCTCATTTGGGGGTGATCCCCCCATTTAGCAAAATTTGAAGACATTTTTAGTTGTCAGAACTGGGGGAGTGAAATGTTACTGACATCTGAGTAGAAACCAGGAATGTTGCTCAACATCTACAATGCACAGGACAGCCCTTGCCGTACCCCATCCCATTCCCCAGCAAAGAGTGATCCAGCTCAAAATGTCATTAGTGCAAGATTGAAAAACCCTAGTCTAAATAAATGGCACTTATATTGATGGTCCATTCTGAGCTTGCTTTGTCTTTGGTATTGAGATCAAATTCCTGTGATGTGAAGAAAAATGTGTTGACTCGAGAATAATGGACTGGGGGTCAAGATTCACCATCTACCAAAAATGGATGTGAGACTAGTCCCAGCAGGGCAGGTCACTTAATGCAGAGACGATGCCTGTGAAGGCTGTTGCAGCCTGTGGGGCACAGAAAACCCTCAGTAATTGGGAGAATGGAGGACCAGGATGAAAGTCCAGAGTGAGACTTCTGTTTGAAGAATGGGAAGTGTTAGTACCTGGGTTGGGACGGTGTAAGAACTGTGTGGAGGCCAAGTACCCCTCCTTGGGTGGAGTAGCATTAGTTGTCACTGTCTTTTTCATTTGTTTATCAAGGGGCTGTTGTTGGAGCACCCTCATAGAGGCCAGGCCAGGTTAGGTGCAGGGGATACTGCGTTGCTTAGTCTTTAAGGATGCTGCTGTGTGGCTTGGACACACCTGACCCTGAACCAGCTCCATTGTTTGCTGCCAGGATGACCAAGGGTATGGGCCTCACCTTCTCAGAGATGTTTCCTCATCTATAAAATGGGGATGGTTGTAACCTTCATCGTAGGGTAGCTGTGAATGTGAAAGGAGATGATACATTCAAAGCACGTGGCACAGGGCTTAGCATACAGTAAGTGCTCAATAAAGGGAGATGTTGCTGCCTACATGGTTACTGGCAGGGGAGGGGGAGGTTTTAGCATGGAGAGTGAGGACAGAGCCCATCCCCACGGATGTGGGGGTTTTTCTCCGTGGGAAGGCAGCCCGGGGGCCCAGGGTTGCCTGGGCATCATGGGCCCAGGGCAGGCGCTGAGTCGCATGTGCTCCTCTCTGCTGCGCAGGTTGGCCGGCTGGCGGAGCTGGGCGCGGCGTCGGGACGGGCCACCGGGCCGGGCTAGGAAGGTGTAGTGGGCCTCAGCGCCGCCAAGGGCGGGCCCGGCTCCTGTAACCGTTGCAGTCTTCTGTCCCTTCACCCAGGTGGGCAAACGCAGAGGCGGGAACAAACTAGCCCTCAAGACGGGAATAGTAGCCAAGAAGCAGAAGACGGAGGATGAGGTGAGCCGGTTGGGTGGGGGGGGCTGCCCACGTGGCCTTTCCTTTCCAGCCTCAGCACCCGGCTAATGAGCCCTGTCCCTCCCTGTCTAGCATCTGGGCCTTGGCATGGGTACTGGGTGGGGAAGGAGGGCTTTCAACAAGGTCTCCAGATAACTTGACTCTGAATAGGAACTCTGGGATGACACTGGGGGTGGATCAGCTGTCTCAGGACAGTCCTGATCCCGGTTCCTGGCCTCCCTGGCATCCCCTTCCCAACCTCCTGTGTCCCCCACCCCACAGGTATTAACAAATAAAGGTGATGCATGGGCAAAGTACATGGCAGAGGTGAAAAAGTACAAAGCCCACCAGTGTGGTGACGATGATAAAACTCGGCCCCTGGTGAAATGACTCCCTTCCCCCGCCTGCCCACGGCCTGGGACTCTGCGATGTACATAACTATTTAATGTGGCGGCAGCGGCGGCAGCCTTTCCCCCCAAGGACTTACACACAGAAGGAAACCGAGATGCTTCCCTCAGCCGCCGCCGATCCTCCAGGACTCTTTTTTACCTTGAGCACTTGCCTCCTGAGACTTCACAGAACAGTGGTTTACTGTCGTCTCTCTCCCCTCCTCCCCCCCAACCTCCTCGCTCTCTCTGGCTCTTTGTGTCTTTCTCTTCTCACCCTCCCCTCCTTCCTCCCCTTAGCCATCACGTCTGGAAAGTAAAGAACTTGACTTAGTGCTGGAGCTGAGTGCTTGGTTTGCCTTCTTTGCTCTCTCCAACCTAAACCCTTTCCCTTCGGCTTACACCGCCCCACCAAAACCTGGGTCTGGCCGGGTGAGTGGGGCTTTGGGGTATAGGGAGGATGGGGGTGTTCTCTATACAGTAGGCCTGGACTCTTCCCCAGGACCCATTTCCTCCCCACCCTGACTGCACCACCATTGTTGCTCCTCGTGTTCAGGGTCTCTTCACAGTCCCATTTGGCTGGGCTAAAGCTGTCATTTAGGGGAAACAGACGAGTACCTACTGTGTGCCTTGGCTGTTCTGAGCCATGGGGCCACAGGAGTGAACAGAACAGACCACATGTGCTCCCTGCCCTTGTGAAAGGAAACAGACAAAAAGGACTCCGAAAAGGCACCACCATTTTTGGAGGTGCCTGTGAAGAAGTGCTGGGTAGAAGCTGGGGGAGTGGGTATATTTTTGTTGACATCTGATCAGAGATCTGTGGGAGGTGAGGAAGTGAATCCCTAGGTGGAAGGAACAGCCAGTGTAAAGACAGGTGGGAGAGTGGGAGAGTTTGAGGAGCCCCATATAACTAGAGCCCGGTGAGTGAGGAGGGTAGGTGGATTACATACAGAGCCTTGTGTGCTAGGGTGGGAATTTGGGACTTCATTTTGAATGAGAAGCATTGGGGGTGGGGGTGGGGTAGGTGTTGAGCTAAGAAGCAATACAGTGTGCTTTATATCTTAACAGGATCTCCCTGGCCAAAGCGGGGCTGGGGTAGACGAAGGCCAGGCCATGATTAGGGGAACAGAGGTGATGGGGTATTGGCAGTGCAGGAGCTAAGGAGGGCTAGGATCTGGATTCCTGTAGGCTACTCTGTCCTGCCAGCAACTTGCAGTCCTTCCAGGGAGGCTAGGGTTGGTCCCTCTGGCTGTGTATATGATCAGGAGAAGAAGCACACAAGGGCTTGTGTGTCCCACTTTACAATCATGACTGTTGGCTGGTTGGGACTGGGTGTCCTATAGAAAGTCTGACTCCCCTAGTGCCCCTCTAATGCTTCTCTGCTCTCCTGGCCCCTTTGTTTGTCCTGGTAGAGCTGAAATGTTTTAAAATGCCCTTGCCTCCCAACTCCTCAAACCTAATCGACTTGAAGCAACAATCTAGGCCCTCCAGATGTGGTCCCATCTCCCAGACCTTCCCAGACATGAATGGTGAGTAGCTCAGCACTCTAGCAGGGAAACCATCCCAGGGCCAGGTTCCTGTCCCCCTTCAGTCAGGGGAGGACCACAGCTTAGGGGATCATGGTGGTCACTGGGACCAGTGGAGGCAGTGGGAGGTAGGGAAGACAGCTGTGATTTTGGGGAGACGGCTGATGTGGCACCCGCCTGGCTTTAGACTCTACCAGGTCTAGCCTGTGGGGGTGGGGTGGGGCGTTTCAAATACTGAGCACCAGAACAGACAAAACTCCCTGTCCTAGTGGAGCTAACATTCTAGTTGGGGGAAACAGACAAGAAGCAAAATATAGGGCATATCAGATAGTTAAACGTTTTGGAGGAAAAGTATGAAAGGGGGACCACGATGAGAGGGAAAGAGATGGCAATGTTAAGTTGGTTGGGGATGGCCTCCATGAAACGGTGGCATTTGTCCCAAGTTCTGAAGGAAATGGGACTGGCATCCTTGGAAGTGTTCCAGGCCGAAAGAACGGCAGGTACAAAGACCCCAAGCTGAAACCATGCCTGACTTGAAGAAGAGGGAGCAAGCAGGCTTTGGATCAGGAGACATGTCTGCTCTCACTTCCTGCTAATACACAGTAAGGCTTGTCTGGTTTATTTTCCACATTGTCTTAAAGAGCTCTCCTTCCTACTTTGGGGATGCGGAGCTGGCCCAGATGTGATGTTAGCCTTGAGGATGTAGCATGGGGGAAGGGGACATAGGAAGCCAGTGGAACCACCTCTATCTCCTCCTCCCTCAAAGCCACCAGCCCCTGCTGGATCTTAAAAAAGAAACAAGTGGGAGAAGTAGGTCGCCCCTGCCGCAGCTCAGCCTCTATTCTGGAGCTTCAGGAGGCAGAAGGAGCTGATGGAGCTCTGGCATCTCCATTCACGGTGCTCACCAGCCCTGACTTGGGGAAAGTCTGAAGGGAGAGGAAAATCAAATTTCAGGTTTTGTGAGTCACATAGCCCTGTCTTCAAACTATTCTGGTGCCTGATAGCTGTGTGATCTTGGGTAAGTCACAGCCTTTCTGTGGTTAAGGTTCTTCATCTATAAAATAGGGGTAACATGCAGAAACATCTCTGGAGATAGGCACTGCCCTAATGTAAGGGCAATGTTCATGCATATAGTCAACGTTAACCCTGACATTTTAAACAACTGTCATTGCTTCTCTGGGTGAAGCAACTGGCTTGTGTTTGGTGGTAATGTTTGAGAAATGCTGACCTTCACACGCAGGTGCATGCAGTATGATGAGATGCTCTGGCAGGGAGGCTGTTGTAAAGTGAGAGGCGATTGTCTCCCATCTCAGATTCACGGTTGGGGATCAGCTCCTTGAGTTTCTTTTTTGCCCTAAACGCTTCTAGTTGAAATAAGTTTGCCGTACACAGGGCTGTTGTGAGAATTACGTTTGGAAACTCTGACAGGCAGTAGGTGCTTAAGAAATAGGGGGCGGGGGAAGGGGGCGGCGGCGGCGAGAGTCCCGATTCAGTACTCAAATCCACCAGCTGGGGAGAGGAAGCAAGACTTCCATGATCACAAGAGGCCCAACACTGTGGATCATACAGGAAGCAGGAGCCACTTTATTTTGCTTGGACTCTCACCCTTGAGGCTTGCGCAGGGCCGCTGGAAACCTGACGTGTTAAAAGGGAGGGGATGAGCACTCACATTCTCTCCCGCGTCTCTACCTCGCTTCCCACCTGACTCTTACCTGGGGCAAACTACAACCCTGAACAGAAAACTCCTACTATTCGTACCCTCCCGAATCCTCCAAATATAGTCCCAGCCGCTCAACCTCACTCTTCTGCTCAACACCCACCCGCAGGGCTCTCTAGGTGCCTGAGTTTTGAGTCTCCGCCAGAGCCCGTAAGCGGGCGCCTGGCAGGATGGAATTTGTAGTCCCTGAGCTAGGGAAGGCCATTGCGCATGCGTAGGCGACGGCTTTTTCGCACGTGTCTTCTAAGTCTGGTTTCTGTCCAGCGGAGCCTGCTGAGGTGGGAATTCAGGCGGTTCCTTCGCCGAGCCCGACTGTCGGACTGGAGTTAGGCACCAGCCGACCCTTCTGAAGCCAGTACTGGCCAAGAGAGGTCTTAGGTACCTATTTTTCATGAATGAATGGAGCCCGGACTGACTTTGCCAATGGGAAATGGGCTGAGAAACCTGTCCACCTCCTATAGGCCAGGGCAAAAATTGACCTTGTGCTAAAAAGTCTCGGGACAGGGCTGGGTTGTCCTTTGGGATCAGAGACCTAGTTGATTCAGTAAATTTAGTAAACATCGATTTAGGGAAGGGCTGAATATGCATAAAGTGAAAGTTCGGCTTTGAGCCTCACGGGGTAGACACCACGTTATAAAAGAACAATTTTGGTGATGCTTAACTTAGACTATCTCTAACCTCTAACCCAGCAAACTATGTATTCTAAACTCATTTGACAAGACGGGAAACTAAGGCTCCGAGTGGCAGGACGTCACCCACCTTGTTATCAGTAGGGTCAGGAAGGGAACCGGGTGCTCCAGGGTCTCCAGCTCCTTCCTGTTCTCAAGAGAAATTAAAGAAGGCCCTACTTTGCCCTCCGACGGCGCAAGGATCACAAAAATGTGTTTTTCATGACTCTGCCCTTGCCTGAATTTCCTGGGCTGTTCTACTTCATTCAGCTTCAAGTGGGGAAAGGGATTAGGCCGTTTGCTCGTGTTTATTATTTCATTTCAATTAAAGTTTTATATCCTTGTCGAGTTTTTCATATCCTAGTAAAAACTGTCAAACAGTACTGGAAAATAAATACTGTAAAATGTGGCAGAGGCTTCTGTAGGAAGCCAGCCTGTCTCAGGCACTTCACTCCCTTTGTCTGGTTTTTCTTTGTCTCTGGGGTATAAAGTCCACTCCAGGCTGTCCCCTTTCACTTTTTCTTTGCGCACATAGACTGTACTTCCAAATAACCTCTGGATGGGGGGAGGGAGAGACAGTTCAATTCTTTTTTCTTTTTTTTTTCATGCGGGAGCCCAAACGGCAACCTTGCTGTTAAGAGCACAAGTTCTATCCACTGAGCCATTCCGGCCGCAGCTCAGCTCAAGGTGCTGAGTTCAGTCCCAGCTGTGGGAGGGCATAGCCCCCATGGAAGAGGCAATCTTGTCATTAGGAGCACGTGCTCTCACTACCTGCCATCCTGCCACCTGTTAGCAGCTGTTGGCAGGTCAGCTTGGCTGGGAATCGAACTGGCGACCCTGTTGCTCAGAGCTCACACTTTTGAGCGAGCTCTTAACCAACTGAGCCACTCAGCCAGCCGAACAGTTCAATTCTTAGAGGAGGGGTTGACAAAAGCGCAGCTGACTCTGGACGAGGGGTTCCCGTGTCCATACACCCGGAAAGTGCCCACGCGCCACCAAACTCAGCTTCCAGCAAAAGGGCTGCTGTCAGGCCGGCTTGAGAGACGCTGAGGAAAACGAGACGCTGGGAGGACCGGCCGGCCAGAGAGGCCAAGAAAGCCGGCAACTCTTCGGTCACGTGTCCCGGTCTCGGAGGGTCTGGGTCTCCCGGGTGCCAGGCCACGTGTGACGGCTGCTCCTTCCGATTGGCTGGGCTGTATCAGTTTGAAAGGCGTACGGAAGCCGCCGCAGCTCATCTACGGCCGCGTTTTTTAATTCCCTCTCTTTGGCTCCCTCCTTCCGCGGGAGTCTCAGGAGAAGGCGCAGCGCTAGGCGCCGCTGCTCCCGCTCCGGCCGGGTAAGTGGGCCTCATCCGGAGCTAGACCGGCTCGGCTCTGGCTTGCTTCGACCCCCGTCAGGGTCCGGACCTGTGCATCACGCGGCCCGGCGTC